CTATTAGGAAAATTTTAAAACTTAAAAATTTACCAAGAACAATTGTTAACGTATAGTATTTATTGATTGTTGACACAACAAACAATTCTTAAAATAATAAGGTCATTAAAATACAAACAATGTTGTTTGACCTTGATAATAATAATTAATACTGAAAAAATAAACTAAAAGAGACAAAAGAAAATTTTACATTCTAAAAGAAAATGTTTACCTAAGTTTGGAGGTGGAAGGGATGATTGGAAATTTGAACAATAAGGGTAGGGCAAGAAGGAAGAGTGACAATGCATAAGAGAGGGGGCCTTTGTGGAGGTCGTGCATGGGGGTGGGAGGCTTTGCTAGAGGTGGTGTGCATGCCGGGGGGTAGGGGTGGGCAAAATGAACTGAACTGAACTGAACTTATAAAAACTATACTGAACTTAAAAATAGTTCTTATGAACTGAACTAAACTAAATATTAGTTCAGACTAACTGAACTGAACTATTTTTTTGTGTCATTGAACTGAACTGAACTATACTATAAAAACTTGAACTGAACTGCAGTTTAAACTGCACTGAACTGTTATGATATTTTGAATTGAACAATTTTGACTCATTGATCTATCAAAATAAGACACATTTGCCAATATTACTTTATTTTCCATTTTATTTAAATTTTTCAAAAAATATATATATATAATTAAGTCAAACAAACTCATTGAATTTTAAGCCTAAAAATAAGTAGTCCAACATAGCTCAATTGATCCGTTAGATTCGACAAAATTGATACAATTTTTTTTGGATCACTTTTTTTTTTTTTAAGTTTTGGTTATTAGACTATCGAGTTAATTCATTAAGACATAACATGTTAGACACATTTAATTTTTATCCTTTTATAAAAATAGTTCAATTTTTATAATTCAGTTCAGTTTTATAGTTCAATACAGTTAACTATCCAACAGTTCAGTTCAGTTCAGTTTTTTTTTTAAACAGTTCAGTTCAGTTTTTTTACAAACAGTTCAGTTTTTTATAGTACAGTACAGTTCAGTTCACCACCAGTTCAGTTCAGTTCAGTTTTTTTTGCCCACCCCTACCGGGGGGGAGGTGTTCTAGAAGTCGAGTGTGGGGGGAAGGGCTTTTCGTGGATGTGGTGCGTAGGGGTTCCTGTAAGTTAAGTGTGGGCTAGGGGCTTTTGTAGATTGTGTTTTCGGGGAGGATGAGGGTTTATTTTGTTAGGGGAGAGGGATTGTAGGTTTTTAAATTTAATAATTTATTTAATAAAAATATTATAAAAATATTTTCGTAATTTATTATTAATCTAAAAAAATGTTTTATTATTTAAAATTAAGAAAACAGTTATTATTATAAATATTAAAAATTAGTTTCAAATATATAAATTAGCTCCAAATATATATTATAAATATGAATTGAAATAAATAAGAAAGTTAAAAAAAAATCCATATACTCTAACTAAAAAAATGCCTAAAAATGTAATTGTTAAAAAAAAAACCTTACTATAAATTAATAAAGTGATTGATTAATAGTTTAGTGTCTTATTCTTACAAAAAAAATGGAATTGATATTCACCAACAAAATTATCATCACTTTTAACCAATTTATATTAAATAATTTTTTAATTTATATTTAACGACGGAATTATATTTGGTCGCTAAGCTCGCTATGTGTGGATTGCTTTGTATTTATTAACCACCGAAATATAATTGATCGCTAATTAACATTAAATTTTCTTATTTAGTGACCAAATTTGATTTGATCACAACCTTTTATAATTTAGTAGCAGATTGGTTGCTAAACATAATTTGCTAGTTTCGTCACAAACTATGTGTTCATGAAACACAATCAAACAGCGACAAATATAGTGACCAATTTGCTAGCAACTCACCTATATTGGTTGCTAAATCGGTCGTTGAGCGATTTTAGTGGTCATATTGGTAATCGATCGCTAAATCGATTGCAAGATAGTGATGGATATACTTTGGTCACTAATTTTGGTCGCTATTTTGCACTTTTCTTGCAATGGATTGTTGTTGTGTTATGTTGACAAAGTTGTTTGTATAGCTAGTTTATTGCTTCTATACTAAGTTATTTTCTTGATTACAAACTTATCCTTGCTTTTCCTTGTTGTTGGACAACAATGATCATATTATTATGGGAGTAAGATATGATTAGACAGGAGGATTACGTTGTGGTGCCACGCTAGAGATGGTGGTGTTTTTGGTTGGTGTTATTCTGGGGCAACAATTTATATAGTAGTTGCTTGATGACAACTTAGAATTTATGTTTTACAATTTGGATAGTTGTATGTGTATATATGTACAAGATTTTAATTAATCCCACTAAGGAGTTTTATTTGTTTTTAGTTGTTTATTCATATACATATATATATTTTTGCATATATATATATATATATATATATATATATATATATACTTAGTTGTTGATTTATAAAATGTAGTGGCATGTCGAATCGTTACAATGTACATGCAAATAAGTAGTAGAGAATTTCATATACGATATGTTTGGGACTATGTTTCATTAGCTACACCTTCTTGTAACCTTAATAGACATACATATGTTAATCCCTCTCCTTCAATATTATAAACTCACTCTATACTAATGCCTTAGTGAAGAGATTTTAAGTTTTCCTCCTTAAATATCAATTTCTTACCTATTTAAAAAGGAGAACTTACTTTAAGAAAATCATTTAAAGACTAATGATTTTAGCTCTATTCTAATCAAGTTCTAAATCAAAGTTTAAAATACAATCGATCAACACATAAAGACATTAAGAACAAAGATTAATCACTGACACGTGGAAGAGATCATAGCATATATATGAAAATCAAGAGTAACATTAATGTGCAATAGTTACATCCAATCTCAAAAAGAAAAGGTTAGCCAATCATTTCCATGAGAGCCAACTCTTAAACAAAAAAGGAAGAAAAATAAGAAGCTAGCAAAAATATTTCATTCCTAAACATCGGAATTGCCTTCAAGATCTTCAACTTGATGATCTTTTGTGTGGAAGAGAGTTTGAGAATGAGAGAGAAAGTTTAAGAACCCTTTAAATTAAATCATTTTCCTTTTTATAGTAGGGGAAGAAATGCTTTTTTTTTTTTTTTACTTTAAAATCGTCTAGCCAAATAAATTTGTTAGGAGAAATTGATATTTGTTCATCCTAAAGGAGCAATTTCGGCCAACCACATTAATTTTTCCTAGCCAAATAGCTTTTATTGGATTTTGGTGCTTGTTGCCTCAATTTGGCTAGGTCACAAAAATTTGTCTAGGCCAAACTTGACCATTTTGCTTCTCCATCTTATTTTGCCTTCAAAGTATGCTCTTGTTGTATTCATCTCCCAAGTCTTGGTTTTTCCAATTAGTAAGGGCACAAAAAAATATATATAATTGAAATTAATTAGCTGAATAGTTATAAATATAAAAAGTAACTATATTACTTACAAAAGTTAACTAATTTTGAGATTTAAATAAAGAAAAAGACTTGGAAATCAAATTAGATGTTTTCTTTTAAATAATCAATTCAAGTAAATTTGACATCTAATAGTAGAAACTCACATAAGTGAGTTTGACACCACATCATAACTAAAAACTTTAAGACATTAGGTTGATGAGTCTTTTTGACTTATATACTACTAAACATGTCCAACTCTAACCAAAGTAAGACTCTTATTCACACTTGAACTCTCCAACACTCCTTGTTAATGAGTCAATTCCACAAGTATGCTTTCTCCTTAAGCGAAAGTCTCTTTTTCATTCATCCACAAGTATTCAATAGTGACTTATTTGCACCATTGTTAGCTCACTCCAATGGGACACATCCTTATGAAGACTTTTTGATGCAAAGGAATCCCATTATTGGATCAACCCCCAGTTCCATTGGCCAATACTCATTTAAATCAATCACTAATCACTTGGCTGAACCATCGGTTTTGATGTGACAGCCTTTACCCCACATGCTAACATTCATAATCGATAACCAACAATTAACTTTTTTGGATATAACTTCAATTAAAAACTAAAGGAGTTAAATAAATGCCTCTATAAAAAGTGGGTTCACATTTGTTTTTAATATAAATAAGTTCTCAACATAAATAAAACTAAGATGAATGACAATTGAAAAACATAAGGCACTCCAAATGCCATTATATAGTTTAAAATAGACTAACAAGACTCTTAACTAGTAAATTCAAATCTAAAGTAAAGCAAAATCATAAATTAAAGACTCCAATGTCACATCCTAATAGAGTATCACCCATGAAACATAGTAAGGCTTAAGCTTCATCACTAACCTCATCATCCTTATGATTCTCACATGCAAAACATACATAAACTAACAACAAAGAAAATAAGGAGAGTGAGATATATCTCACTTTATCTCCCAATGTGAGATAAGGCTAGACAACCACACACATAACTAACAACAAAGAAAATAAGGGGAGTGAGATATATCTCACTTTAGCTCCCAATGTGAGATAAGGCTAGACAACCACACACATAACATACAACATCTAAAAGTAATGTCAAGCATGTATCCATCAAAATATCAATATAATAAGTAACATAAAGGCATATTAGGCAAAATGTAACCAATCACAGTTCACACACCCGATGCAACACGAACTCATCTAGATCTAAATGTATATGGCATTAGTAATCTCATGTACGATTATCCTCATGAAAGGTTATCAACATTTTATGCACATAATGCATGTCACACACAAGACTTTATGTAGTGCTTTACATCCTAGACTCATCACATACTCATGTCATTCACATATCACACCATCATCGTCTTTAGGGGTGTGCATAGTTTGGTTTTTTAAAAAAACCGCACCAAACTGCATTACACCATTTTAATAAAATAAATTGGTTTATAAATTATGTAAACCACTTTAATAAACCAGTTTAAAACTGAATTACTTTAATAAACAAGTTTATAATCGGTTTAAAACCAGTTTCATAATAAAACCAGTTTTTGAACCGGTTTTAAGAAATAAACCACAAACTATTACGCACACATGAATTCCAGCCCGAAAGGCATACCTTTGGGAAGTTCACATCAAAAGCAGCCATAATAGTAATTGTGGATGAACAGACAAACGCTGCAGAGCTTGATAGTCCAGAACCTGTAAAAAAGATGCCTTTTTTCCTTTTAATTTAAAGCCATCAACAGACAAATTGTAATCTCTAATAGAAAACCAGAGATAATGATCAACATTCACTTGGAGGTAAACTACAGATTGCATTATCAATTAATACTGAATTAAACAACAATTCTACACTCTTTCTTTTTCATCCAAAAAACAAAACCACTGTATCTATTATATTATTCAACGCTCCTTCATTCATACATAGCATATCATTTCAAATTTTACAGTACAGATTGTAAATATATCATTAAAATAAAATTGCAAGCACTCTTTTTTATAAAGTAACCAGAATGCGCACTAGTCTAGGACCAGGACTAATAGTTCGAATGACCAATACTCTGCATCATCTTGGCAGCGTTAAGCAAGGTTCATTAAGGAGAACAAACACAAAGCACATACATCTAACTGAGCTAGCCATTATACCTCAGAATAAAACGAGGAAACGACAAGAGAAATATGAAATAAACTCACCCACAAATAAAATAATGGCCCCATTTGTGATTCTTCAAGTCGATTTCCTGCATGAAAAACACAGCCAATGAATATCAACAAAACAGAACAATTTTATTGACAAAAAATGAATAGCAAACAAACATTCTTAGAAGATATGTTTTATTAATACATCAATTTACACACCAATATTTTATATTTTTCTCTCTTTCTCTTGATCGTAAAATTTGTTATACGAATAAATAATAATAGTAACAATAATCCTCTTCTTAAAGTTGTTTTAAGCTTCACATTATTATACAGTGCTTGACCAAAAGGATTCGAGGATCCACCTGGAGAGGATCAGCAGGATAAGTGCAAACAGAATATTTTCCACCATTCACGTTAGCGATCTTAAGAACCTTTTCAGACTCGTTTCTCCGAATGGCCACGATTGTGTCTTGCCGAATAGCCATAGGCAACACCGAATAACCTTCATAATCAATGAGCAATGAAATGTGGTTTATTTGTTGTGCGTATGCGAGATAGAGTGAGTGAGAGGGTTGTTCCGCTTTCCTGTTTTAGTGAACCAAAGCTTTTTTAAAAAATAAGTTCAGTTTTTTAGTTTCATTTTAAAAATTAAAACCGGTTCAATTTATTATAATTGGTTCCGTTTTTTTTAAATAGTTTGGTTTGGTTTTAAATTCAATGTGGTTCTTTTGGTTTTTTTGAATAGCCCTAATCGTCTTTTTCTCATGTACACTTCAATCAACCATTCAAATCAACAATTTTATAACTATGTTAAACACCACCAAACTATCTTAAATCCACAATACACAAACATATCATGTAACCATCACATATCCATAGTTCAAGCACAATACTATACACAACATCCTTCAATAAACACCTTAATTAGTGTCATTACAAGATCCTCTATTACTACTATGATTATAAATAATTAACTTAATCACTTTTCACCTTCATTGACGACAATGATTGTATTCGTAAACTAACCATCATCAAATTACCTCAAACTCTCAATTATAAACTCATCTCATCACAAATTAATGTTAGCAAATATGATCAAATCCAAGAGGAGGGTGAATTTGATCGTTTAAAATGTTAATCTTAAAACATTCTTGGGTTAAAATTTTTCTATAATATTTTCAATTGACCCAATTTATTTTAACCAAATTTAGGATAAAAATGTAGAAATTGGATTATGCAAGACACAATTGAATTACCCTATATGATTTGCTTTCAATTAAACATTTAGAATAATTTATATTGTTTCAACAACAACTACCATGACTTTCATCCAATATTCTGATCAACCCAGTTGAAAATTTCACTAAATCTATAAGCTCCAAAGTTTTCAATTACAACCACATGCAATTTACTTTTGAAAATTTAAAGAACCCCACTTCTTGAAACCCAACAAGTCTCATTGTAGAGGCCCTTTACAAGTAACCTTATCCACTTGAAAAACCTAGTCAAGAATTTAACAAAGATAAAAGAATGGTATCACTTGATATAAAGAATAAAAAAATAGGTGAAAAAGTTAAACAAAAGAATCTACAATCTTCGTGTATATTGATGATGATCCAATATTTCTTGATTCATGATAGAAGACTCCCCCCAATATATGAAATCCAGTTTCTCATGATCTACTATCAAGAATCCTTAGTTAATATCAAACTCGGGTGTTTAGAAGTGTAGAAAACAAGTTGCACTGAGTTTTGAAAATGAAATTTGTTATAGAGTTTTCTACCTAAAATAACATATTGTTTTAAGAGACAATTGATTGTTGTTTTAAGAAACCTAATTAACAAGAACAACTTAATTGATTATTTTGGTAGATAATTGATTGTTTTCAAACTTAGTTCTAAAATAATTAATTATTTTGATAGATAATCAATTATTTCTGAAAATGCTTCCAAACATTTAGAAAGCATGAAAAAATAATCGATTATTTTTAAAGAAAGTCAACTATTTAATCAAAATATACATTAATTATGCACAACATGACACCAATTACACGAATTTCTGCAAAATATGCGAAAATCGCACGTTACTCAATCTTGAGTTTCCTTTAATTCAATAGATAAAACATCAATTAAAGCATGAAATTACTCACTTATATCACCATTTAATCAAAACATACATTAATTATGTAATCATCATCCAAATTCATCGAAGGTGTTTTACAAGAATTAAGGGTTTCTCACAAATTCATAAGTATACCAATTCATCATCAAATGCCACATGTAGCGCACAATTAACATCAAGCACAATCTATTAGGAGTCTCACATTGAGTAAAATATGAAACTTAATATGTTACTTAAGCCTTGAGACTTTCCCATAATGAACTAGTCTTTTGAGTTGGATTCTCATGTAATTAAGTCGTAACAATTGGTACTTTCGTTGAGATTTGGACTACTAAAAGGGATATCTATAGGCTAGACTAAGGTTCAAATTGAATACTAATAAGTGAGTAAAGCTGTCAAAGAGAGAAAAAGCTATCATTAAGTTAATTAATGTCAATAAAGTAAAAGTTATTGTGGACGGCGATCCTTTAAAAGGGCAATAATGTTAGGAGTCCCATATTAAACAAAATATAAAGCTCAATGTAGTGCTTAAACCTTGAGGCTTTGCCACCTAATGAAAGTCCTAACACAAACAAATAAAATGACATATTATCTAAAATATTATTGAATGTAATTAAATAGGGAGGCTCCAAGGTTCCCCTATAAAGACATCAAATATTTCTTGTGTTAAATACAATCAAACAAGGGGGCTCTCAAGGTCCCCCACAAAGCAACAAGAAATCAAGTATATAACATAAATAACTATCTCATTTACTCAATCAAACAAAAGGTGCTCCCAAAGTCCCCTCCAGAACAACAAAGCATATAAACAACAAGATTAGAGTCAATCCCGTTATCCAACAATTACTCCACACCCTAAATAGAGTGAGATAACTCACTCCACCTTACTTTGAAAGACGATAGAGGAAGGACAGGGATCTCCGGGGTGATCTCCTATGGCCTCTCCATTCTCATCTTAGAATTCTACATTTTGAGAAAAAAGAAGAAAAAAATGTACAAACTAACAACTTATTTCTCAAAAAACCCTTTGAAAAACCAACCTTCCCTTTAACGAAACTACCACCCTTGAGTTAAAGAAACTAACCCAAGGTCAACATCTCTCTCTAGATAGAGTGAGATAACTCACTCCACCTTACTTTGAAAGACGATAGAGGAAGGACAGGGATCTCCGGGGTGATCTCCTATGGCCTCTCCATTCTCATCTTAGAATTCTACATTTTGAGAAAAAAGAAGAAAAAAATGTACAAACTAACAACTTATTTCTCAAAAAACCCTTTGAAAAACCAACCTTCCCTTTAACGAAACTACCACCCTTGAGTTAAAGAAACTAACCCAAGGTCAACATCTCTCTCTAGATAGAGTGAGATAACTCACTCCACCTTACTTTGAAAGACGATAGAGGAAGGACAGGGATCTCCGGGGTGATCTCCTATGGCCTCTCCATTCTCATCTTAGAATTCTACATTTTGAGAAAAAAGAAGAAAAAAATGTACAAACTAACAACTTATTTCTCAAAAAACCCTTTGAAAAACCAACCTTCCCTTTAACGAAACTACCACCCTTGAGTTAAAGAAACTAACCCAAGGTCAACATCTCTCTCTATTCTTTTATTAACTAAAATAATTAAAAAAAACCCCAAAATAATACATATATTATTTAATTAATGTTTTCACAACCCTTTCATAATGTTCATAAAATACATACATATATACATATATATATATATATATGTGTGTGTGTGTGTCTTCATATTTTATTTTATTTTTCAAAAGAATATTTTATTTATTTTATAAAGGACATTTAACTAAAACATCCTTTTTTATTTATATAAAACTTATAGTGATAGCACTATTAGGAGTTAAACACCGAGAACACTACAAGAGCGGGTGGTAATAAATCACACAAGTGAGTTTGACACTGCATCATAATTCAAAACTTCAAGACATTAAGTTGATGGATCTTTCTTATTTATATATTACTCAACATGTCCACCTTTAACCTATGTGTGACTCTCAATCACACTTGAACTCTCCAACATTAGGGAGGTTGCCAACTCTAACATATGTTGTATAATTGTAAATAACAAATATGTAGATAACAAATGAAATTAAAGAAAATAACAAAAGAATTTTTTTTGTTTCTTAATGTTAAAAATAACTATTAATAAAAGGAATATCCTTTTTATTAACCGTTTTCATCTCCATTTTTCTTTGATTTTTTTACCCACTCAATTATACAATAATTTTTTTTCTAACAATATATTCATAGAGGATAAAATAAAAAAATATAAAAATATAGTTTCTTTTATAACTGTTATATAGAGATATGAAATGACTCGACCCATTTATTAATAATAGAAGAAATTATCTTACTTGATGTCCACTTTTAACTTTCTTATTTTACCTTATATAACAATGCATAATCTCTAATAACTACATCCATTATCAAAAGAGTTGTTATTTTTCTTAACAAAGACCAAGTCTTTTATTATTATTATTATTATTATTATTATTATTATTATTATTATTATTATTATTTTGTTTTCACTAGTCTTTATACAATTTTAGATAACAAATATGTTGATACAAATTAACCCTACCTAGCATTTTATCATGTGCAATGCACATGTAAAATATTTATCGTATATAATTAAAATTTATAATAAATTATATAAATAAATATTATGCCTAAATATATAAATTACATTTAAAATTTGTATAAATAAGTATATAAATTCTATTTTAGATTTATGATAAATAATTTATAATATAACTTAATGTTATTTTTATTTATTAATAATTTAATTTAAAAATATTAAAATTAATTCATAATAATTATAATAAATAAAAATAGAATTAGATAAGAAGTTAAAAAAAATTTCTAAGAAATATCTCATCAAAGAAAAGTTTGTAAAAATGCGCTTGTACAAGATAAAGATTTTTATTTAATATATAGGGGTTGATATATTAAACACGAACAAGTTGAACCTATTCTGCAAAATTAAAGCCTAATTCTTACCTATTATCTATCATAGACTTTTTTAAAGTCAAACTTATTCTCATCCTTAGTTATGAGGTTTTATATCATGATAAAGATTTTAAGGATTATTTTAACTTCTTATCTAATTTAATTTTTATTTATAATAATTATTTATGAATTAAATTTTAATATTTTTAAAAACTACCGATAGATAAAAATAATTGTGTTACAATCTAACATATAGCTTACATGTGTAAAAATTATCTATTTATAAAAAAATTAAATATAATTTAGGTTTAAATATATTTTTAGTCCCTCAAATTTAAAATTATTATTTTTAGTTGTTGTAATTTTTAAAAATCTTATTTTAATCTCTCATGTTACTAATAACATATTTGGAAGTGACAAACTAACACAGTTATACAATATAATATTAGTTAAAATTAATATGATATTTTTACTAATAAGAACACTAGTAAATAAATTTTATGCGACAATATATGATAAATTTCTTACTAAAAATTGAATATAAAAGTCAAAACAATATTTTTTGAAATTACATTACTAAAAAATAAGTTTTAAATTTAAAGGACTATACTCTATTATAAATTTTAATTATATATAATAAATATTTAAGATATATAATTTTCAAGTTAAAATCCTAATGAAAATTACAGGAAAAAATAAACAATTTTTCTTAACGAAAAATAGATGCCTTTAATCTTAAATTTTAAAATACTCCAGTGATATATGCAAATCTTAGAAGTTAAAATCCTTCACCATTTAAGCCGTGCCTACGCGGCTATACGCTGTCAGGTAGGTAGCTGGTGGCTTTTTGGTTTTTGTTTCAGCACTTAAATATATCCTAACAACCATCTTCTATATCTTTTATTTATTTATTTCTTTTTTTTTTTTTTTTTTTTTTTAGAGCTCTATTTACTTTGTAATCTCTTCCATTTATTGAAGTTTGATCATGGCACAAGTTGTTTTTCTAAAGCAACCCAAATCCAGCATCATTTCGCTGGATCTACGCAAATAAGCAATAACCCCAAGGCATCGTTACCGTTATCCAAAACCAAATGCAATCATCGATCATAGCATGATAGAATTAGAAGCCATTTCACTTCACGTCTTTCTTAACTCTTCCTCAAATCACAATACTCGTTCACATGTTTTTCCTTGTGTTTTTGCGAATACTCTCAGCTCTCGCCACGTGTCCCATGGTTTTCTGCATTACTTTCCTTCGTTCTCAGGTAACAGTCATGGAACACTCCCGCACCAGAAAAAGTAACTAACTCTTCCTCTTCACCGTATAAATAGCGCCAAATCAAAATCAAACCACCATCCGGTTGCGTTTTCAAGCACCGTCATCGGGTTTCTCTCCAACGAACTCTTACTTTTCGTTTTTTTTCTTTCTTTCTTTCTTTTCTCGCGCTTTTTCTCCGATTTTCTCGGGAAAGTCTTTCGAATTTTCTGCAGCGATCGGTTTCGGACTCCGATTTCGCGACTCGCTAGGGTTCCTTCGTTTGCCCTATGGAGGAGGAGAAGAACGTGTGCGCGTCGGAGTCGGCGGTTACGGGGAGCCGCGATGTTTGGAGTTCCGAACCCTCGCTCGCTTCCTCCGCCGATCACCTCGTTGTAATGGTGAATGGAATCCTCGGAAGGTACTGCTTTAATTGGATTTTGATGAAATGCTGATGCTGTGGTTTTACTTGGTTGCGTTTGATTTGGTGTTGAGGCTTGGATTTTAGTTGTTTTTCAGGTTTTGTTGATTGGTTGGTTGATTGTTTGAATTGACTCTTTTTGCTTTGTGGATTCATTTGTGAGTGTGCTTTTGTTGGAATTAACTGATTTTCTGGTTCATGTGCAGTCAAACGGATTGGAAATATGCAGCGGAGAAATTTGTCAAGGAGTTGCCGGATAAAGTGTTTGTTCACTGTAAGTCTCTTTGAAAAGCTTTGGTGATTGTATTGTTGGCTCAAAAGGAGAGATCCTTGTTGTATGTGATTGTTTGATTTATGTTATGAGTGAATAATGAGTAATACATGCACTGACAGTAAATGTCTTTTACATTGTTGTCGAATGGCAAACCGCCTTGTATGGCAAGGTTATGAACTTTTATAATCACTGCCTTAGAAGTCATATTAAGGATGAATTTCTAATTAGTTGATAGTGTAAAACTTTTATACCGATAGTGCATGCCAATTGAACTCATTTTAGCCCAATGTTATACATTTTCTCTATGATTGTGGAGAAATACATTAAGAAATTATTCAAAATAATGTGTCCTTAAGTTTTCATTTTGAATGTTTATGGTATTTTAGTTGACTTCATTCTTCTAGGATATTTATTTCTTCTGGAAACTAGAGTGGGCTTTAAATTTTGTATTTTGTGCTTGCTTTCACCCAGGTAGCGAACGAAATGTGTCTATGCTTACATTAGATGGTGTGGACGTAATGGGAGAGCGATTGGCACAAGAGGTTAGTATCTGACTATATTGTGTGATCTTTTTTATGAATCTGCATGTAATGTGAGTCAATTTACTCAAATTTCTCTACATTCATTATCTGTAAATTATATTACCCAATCTTTGTCATTATATTAGATGTTATAAATGTTATTGTGCTTATGATAGACAATAAATAATATCTTCAGTTTCTAAAAAGGTAAAAAGATTTAAGTAAACATGGTGTCAGTCCGTATTGAAGTTGTGTATCAAATGATATGAAGTATACTGTATCAAATATATATTTACATATCCTCTCTGTTACTGATAAAGCATAAGTACATGTAGCTTTCATAACATTTTCATGAGTAATTTATTGGACAACGAAAGGGATTTTCCTACGGTAGAAATTCCGGATGATATAATGTTCCATAGGTTTGGAAGGGAAATCTGAGCCCATGTATTTGGATATGGGAACTTAAAGTTTGCTCACCAGAGATCTGGGAAATCTATGGAAATCTGAGTTTCTGATGTATGTTGGAGATGGAGAAATTTCATGTCGTATTTTAGGTTCAAACGAGTCTGTGTTAACCAGAGAAATGTAATATTTGAGATCTTTACTATCTTCATATTCCTGTACACTACCATGGTATTGGATACATAATCATTGTTGTTATTACCAATAACTTTAACTCTTAGGTGCTTCAAGTGATTCAAAACAAGCCAAATATGCGTAAGATATCCTTTGTTGCACACTCAGTGGGAGGATTAGTGGCGCGTTATGCAATTGGGAGGTTGTATAGGCCACCTGAAAAAGGAAATATGGAGGACTCAGTCAATGAAGAAAGTAAGGAGGGCTCAATACCTACAATAGGTGGCTTGGAGGCGATGAATTTCATAACTGTTGCCACACCTCATCTAGGATCAAGGGGCAATAAGCAGGTACTGATTATTTAAATTTTTCTTTGTTTCCCAAATTTAATGATAGGATTAAAGAAACTATTGACAATGTAATTAGTCTAGCATAGCATAGTTTCCAGATTCTTTGTATATAAATTAGGTAGGAAAATTGGGACCTGCCAAGGAAGCACAATTCTTATTGTTTACATATGCAACACCTATAATTCTTTATTATGCAAGAGGGAAGTTGATTTCTTAATGAAGAAGGTAGATGTTTGAGTAATTTATCTTTTGTCTTACTCTTATGTTTATCTGACTTAGAAGTTTTGAGAGGTGAGTCTTGGTGCTATGGTTAAGTCTTTCTTCTATTTTTACTCATATTCCAAATTAATTGTCTATGTAGATTTGTTTACTCTGCTTGATAACTTATATTTATTGTTCTGTCAATTCCATGCAATCTAGATTGTCATCCTACAACTTGTACCCATATTCTACCAAACCAAGAGTAAGTGTTGGTGGGTACTTGTACTTTTAAAAGCCAGGGAACAGTACCCTAAATCAATTATGAATGGCTGAAGCATATATATCTTGCATCTTGTGATCTTTGGTTCAAGTAACTCATGGAAGTAATACAAATTAATAATTTAGAAGTCCAAAATTAACCAGATGCTGTTGGAGTGTAATTAGACATTTCCAGTATAAATAATTTCTTCCAATGGGTCTTCTCTTTTTTTTCTTCATCACATTTTCTTCTATTGAAAATGATTTATGGATTTATTTTGATAGTTGTATGAAGATATTTTAGAGTAGGCTGCAATACATGTATTTGTTTTGCACCAAATGCACCAAAAGTGTACATGATATTAAATTCAACACGTGGGATATCTATCTGTGTGTCTGTGCTTATCATCAACCAGGGATACCTGGGATCTTTACATGAAAAACATTTGTATCACCTTCTGCTACTTGGGTATTTAAATATGTTGGTTTCTGGATTTCAGGTTCCATTTCTCTTTGGGGTACCTGCTTTTGAGAAGGTGGCTAGTTGTGTTATTCATTTGATTTTTAGAAGAACAGGTCGGCATCTTTTCCTCACTGATTATGATGAGGGAAAACCTCCACTGCTTGAACGGATGATTGAAGACTCCAATGATTTGTATTTCATGTATGTTTGTTGCTTCTTATGTTAGTTTGCTTTTATATATGGAATTTGTTGAGTTTGATTCCTTTAAAGGATCTTCATGTCTTCTGATTTCTTTGTGCAGGTCTGCATTGCGCGCTTTCAAACGTCGGTTTGCATATTCAAATGTCGACTATGATCGTATCCTTCTTATTTGCTTCTTATTTCTCCTAATTTTCGGTGCATTCAGCCTTATTCATTTCATATTCTTTTATTTGGTTTTTCTTTACAATGTCTTTTAGATATTGTTGGCTGGAGAACATCATCCATTAGACGTCAGAGTGAACTTGCAAATGTATATTTACTGACATAACTTTTTTTATGTTGCCTTTAATGAATCATTGTTATCATATAATGATGTAAAATATTTGGTTGTTAGTGGAAGGATACCATCAATGAAAAATATCCACACATTGTATATGAAGAACACTGCAAGGCTTGTGATGCTGAGCAGTGTGACATAACAGAAGATAACAGCTCCGACAAGATAGAAGGTTTGCATCTTCACCCTGTGCTCTTACATGGTTCACCTTCCTTTGCTCTTCTGCTTCCATATAATCTTTGGCTAATCAGTTCTTTCTAGAATACTACTGGTATTAAACCAAATGCTGTTGTTCACAAAATGTTGATATTTTCTTTGTCCTTCTGTTATAATATAGTCTAGAGTACTGTGGGTACCATTAGGCTATAATACTGTGGTTGAGTGTTACTAAATTTTGGGGTTTACTTTGTCCTTCATTTTCAGACAGACACAACATCTATTGAAATTAGTGGTTTTAGGTAGTGATGTTAGAAGGGATAATCTAAGATACTCTAAATTACTCCAAATATACAAGCATGATATTATGAGATTTTCTGATCCGACACCCCTCATTAAGAAGGGGTATATGTGCAACAGACAAAAGAATAGAGATGGGGGATATGGGTACAGATGAACAGTTGTAACTGCTGCCAAGCTGTTATTACTAACTCAACTGTGATCAGCAATGGTAACCAGTAGAATAAATGGGAATATAGTCAGAGCTGGGGGGTGGATTGTTGTCTTCATTGGAAGAGGTTCTGGGCACTCTCGAATTGCCCAAAGCTGTAAACATTTCTTCTCTAGGTTCTTACCAATCTAGAGTTAACCTTAATAAAATACATGTTCATTTTTGTATTGTGCTAAATTCTTAATTTCCCCTCCTTTTTTACTGGTTGATTCTATCTCATTCTTTAGAATATTTTAACAATATCCATAGTTGTTTGCTTAAAAGAAATCGATAGTGTACTCTTGCATATGAAGTGCATCAAGTTATTATTTTCTTTAAATATGAAGTTTGAATTCGTAAGCATTGAATAATCCCAGTAGAAAGGTGAACATGTTTCATCGAAGTGCACCAAACCATGAGAAATGGTGAACAATTTCTGGCGACAACTCTGATAAACAATGACAAGTTTTCTTGCTATGAAATCCCCTACATACTTATTTGGATCGGCTACATTAGGAGACCATAGAAAGGTTCTTACTCTAGATGGTTTTACACTTCTAAAGTTGGTAGATCACAACAGTTTTTATTGATCCATTTATAGCTGGTTCTACCTAATTGATAAGATTTGGTTGTTATTGTCGTCATAGATATTACCCTGTATAACTAACGGTGCTTGAATTTGGACGGTGGTCTGTTGCTTTTTATTATTTTATGTTCTTTCCAAGTTGCAATTTTTCTAACTACAATGAGCACTTGCAGAGGAGCTTGTGACAGGCTTATCTCGTGTGTCATGGGAAAAAGTAGATGTTACCTTTCGCAATAGCAAATATAGATTTGCTGCTCATAGTGTCATTCAGGTCCGTGTCTTGCACTATCCTTGTTATCACCACATTTTTAATGAGTGCATATCCTTCAAATTTTGATATATGGTTCGATCATTATAAATCACTATTTAAGTTAAACTCTTGTGATATGCAAACTGTATTTGTTCGACTACATCATTTTTCCTTATGTTCTTCCTCCATCTTTTACAGGTCAAAGACCAAATCACACATATAGAAGGCGCAGATGTCATACAGCATATGATTGATCATTTTATTGTCTAGAAGCTTTTTCTGTCTAAACTATGCTTCCTTCTTGGCGATATAAGCTTATCATAGGTAAATCTCAGAATGCCTACGGTATTTGTAAATAAACTTGATTGATACTAATCGAATTTATCTGAAATTGAATTAGTTGCAGGATGGAAACAATTGGTTCCCCGAGTGACAGTTCTTCGTTTGTTGCGGTGAAGAAATTGAAATTTTGCTTATTGATCATCCTTTGCAATGTGTATATAAACTAGTCGGGAAATCCGTACAATGCATGGGGACAATATAATTTCATCTATTCCATTTTTCTTGTATAAACTTTGTTTTTTTATTTATGAATTTAATCTATATGCATCGACAGTGTAAATGCTTTTTACACTGTCATCCGATAGTAGATTATCATGTATAGTTTGTTGACTGCATAACAACTACTTTAAAAATCATACCTATAATGATTTTTTATTGATTAATATAATTTTTTTACATTAACAATGTATTAAAATTAAGCTCTTTATTTATTTTCATTTGATACACATCATCCTGGACTTTAGCAATTTGATTTGGCAGGAGAAAGCATAATTTTTAATATTCTTTTTTTTTTTAGCTACAATTCTCCAAATTTGGCAATCGTATATTAGACAGTTACACTGATTGAGTTAACTAATAAAATTCCTTCATTAAGTAATTAAAAAGGATGAAAAAAAATATGAACACTGCGGTATATAAAGCCTCATAATAAAAAAATATATTGACATAACACTTTGATGTTTACTGTTAAATACATTAATTCATTTTTCATATACATTTTGGGCAGGTATTTCATAAAAAAGCCTCATGTTCTTCCGTGGGGAAAGATTTTGTTTAAAGATTTTATAGTAAAATAATTTTTAATAATTAATCATATTTGAGCAATTACATTATACAGTTGTATATATTTATTATCTATGTGTTTATATTTTAATAGTTCTTTATGTAAATTTTTCATGAATTTAATTAAAATCTGTTTAGTGTAAATGGGTAGGTATTTCATAAAAGAAGCCTCATGCTCTTCCGTGGGGAAAGATTTTGTTTAATGATTTTATAGTAAAATATTTTTTAATAATTAATCAAATTTTAACAATTACATTATAGATTTGTCTATATTTATCTGTGTTTATATTTTAATAATTTTTTATTAATTTTTTTCATGATTTTAATTAAAATCTGTTTATAGTGTAAATGTGCTTATGCCCTGTCATCTAATTATAAATAATATGTATGATAAATTTTTTAACTTCTATAATAGTCTTATAAGGGATTCTAATTAAATGAGAATATAAAACATCTTTATACGGTATGACAATTGAACTAAATTTCCATTATGTTATTTAGATATTAATAATCTTTTATGTAAATTTATATGTTGATCGATGTAATAACTAGTATTTTAGTCTCTTCACTACATAAAATTATATAATCTAATTATAAAATTATTATAATTAGAATTATATAATTAAAATTTATTATAATCTAAATAAACAAGATAATAAATAATATAACTTAAATTTATTATATAATTAAAATTTATAATAATCTAAATAATTAGGATAAGCAAAAAGTAAATTAAATAAGTTAAAAAAATATTTACAAACCTTTTCATTGAAGAAAAATTCTTAAAAATATTCTCAAACAAGATAATAGTTCATGTTTAATATATAGGATTTAATGTGGATTTGTGATTTATATATATTGATATATTTTCATATTATCATAATTAAAAGGGTAAAATATATTTTTGATACCTCTAAAATTTTTCAAGCACGATTTTTCAAAATAATTTGTTCTATTTTGATTTACGTAATTTGAAAATGCATCATTTTGAGTTTTGAAAATGATTTAGATAATGCTTTATAATTGCTTTTAAATGCTATCTAAACTATTTTGATAACCAAAAGTGATGCATTTTTAAATTAGTGAGGTCAAAATAGAGTAAAAAAATTAGAGGGATTAAGATCAAATTTAAAAATTCTTAGTGGGGTTAAAAACATATTTTCCCTAATAAAAATGTTACATTATCAATAATCAGAAATTATTTCATATTATTTTCAAAATAATTATTGTAAAAAATTTGTAATCTGATCTTGTTATGGACCTGAGTATACAAAAATTTTAGTATGAGACATTTTAATTAAATTTTATATATAAATGTATTTTTATGCAAATTACCGAATTGATGGGTATAAATTTTGTAGTATATTATAGGAAACGAGACAATTTAAGCCTCCTTATTTTTCAAAAATAAAAAATAAAAATAATACAATGGTTACTTAAAAGAGTGTGAGAAGCTTAGGGTGAGATAGAAAAAAGTAAAAAAAGAAAATAAATAAAAAGGAGATGAAAGAGGTAGTTATAAGAACAAAATAGTCTAAATTGTACACAAAAATGGTATATCCTCTTTATTATTAGTATTAGTATATAAGTATAAATTAAGAGAAAATGAACATTTTGTGCCTATGTGTGGTTATTTAAAAAATAAAATTGAAGTAATAGGGAATAAGTCATTTGAGGTAGATAAACATGAGAGATAAGGTAATTTACATAAGCGACGGTGAGATATTTTTCATGAGGAATAATTTACATGATAGAAGAAAAATGTTAAAAGAAAAAATAAGCAAAAAAGAATTAAATATTATATTTATATTACTAAGAGAACAATGGTCTAACAAAATGTGAAAATAAAAAATATTTACTGATCTTATCAAGAATAAGATCTTTACTAATCTACTTTTCATCCGAAACTTCGTCCTAAATCTTCCTATATGTGTAAGAGCACTAAAGATCAAGTTAGTCCTTTGAGTATATTATTCTAATGTATATATTCTTGTCTCATACTTTGGTAACTACATTGTGTTATTTGCTTTCTTCTTGTCTATTATAATCGACCTCTAAGCAACTATGCAGGTGTTCGTCTACATATCTTGGTCTTTCTCTATTGGTTTTACCATGCCTATAAATAACTTAAGTAATTTGTTTGAGGTTATTTTATCCAACCTTGCAGATTGGGTAATTATTTATTTGACCTTATAGGTTAGCTAGTACGCAAGTCTCCTAAATCTTGAATGGAAGCATGAACAGAGGGACTTTAATGTGACTAGAAACAATTAATGAGTGTGCATTTGCCTATGTGCCAAGTTGCCATGATGTGTATACATGTAAATACTTCAAACTTATAATTACACGTCAAGGGATTTAAATGAAGGGCGTAACATTCCATTTTTTTTAAAATAAATTAGAATAATTGAATATTACACGGGAAATATTTTGTTAATACAATAAAATGGGAGAAATAAGTTAGAAGATTTTGGGCTAAACTCTAAGCCCAACTCGGAGGCTAATTAAAAATAAGAAAAAGGGAAGAGATTAGATTGTTCATCTTTTAAAACCTAGAGCACTTATAGAAGGAAACCTAGAGGAGACTAATGAAGAAAGCATGGATTAGTAATCATAGCTACAGGAAACACATTGTTTCCCAAGATCCTCACTCTAGGTAAGGAGAGTGAGATTGTCGAATCCGTTAGGCATATATGAGAGATAAGGGTAGAGGGACGATTCCTAAGTCTCGAGGGTGTTGAATTTGATCTATGTAACTCCTTATGAATGAATTGATGTTTTATTCTCTTATATTATATGAATTTGAGTGTTGATTGAAATTATATTGAGTTGTTGGTATAAATTGATGTATTTGTAGATTAGGGTATATTGTGTATGAACTTGAGAAGTTTAATGGATTGAATGAGTTGTATGATTTGATGATATGTTATTATTATTTGAGTGTGGATAATCTAATTGATCGATTTGGTTATAAATTGAAATAATTGATGTATTTGTACGAAAGTTTGAGGAAAGGAATCATGCGGATCGTGAGTTTGGAGTAGATTCTACAATCGCGCAGAACATGAAAAGGATCATGTCGAGAGCAGGACTGCTAGCGAGGTCCCAAACCTCTTAGCGTTGGGTGTGAAGTGTTGCGCCCGATGCCATTTGACATCAATTTTTCAAGGAAGTGACGTTGGGCATGACCCAATTCATGCTGAGCGAGACCGAGACAAAGAGGTCCTAGATCTCACCATGTCAGACGTGAGTGAAACCTCGTTAGGCTCCACACCTTTTCTTCAAATATCTAGAAAGAGAGAGAAAGAAAGTAATGAATAATGATGTGTAAGATTATGAAATCTATTGTACTAATATCTATGATGATGTATGAAGAGTTATGTTAAAATACCATTGAATAATTATGATGGATTGTGTGATGAAGTTTGATAGGCTAATATAATAATGTATGATTGTTTTGGAATATTATTAAATTGATGTGTTGAATGATTGAGATGTGATAATGTGTGTTGTGATTAGTATTTTGATGACATGAGATGAATAAGTCTAGTGCTATGGATTGACATTTGAGGAGATGAGTTATGCATATTGTATGATTGTGATGTGTATATTGAGTTCATGCATTCATGATTTATTTTACGGGATAGTGAGTCTATACAGGTGGGATATCATTGGTCATCTACTTGTGTGTGGGTGTTATGGTGGGGAAACTTCTAATAGGAATGGGAGACTATCATGGCCAATTATAACACTTCTACAACATCTTGATAGACATCCCCTAGTTGAGGTGGTTTAGGGGATCACTATTGATGGGTGGTCCCTACACTATTCGATGTGGTGGACTCATTCCATTACTCTAGGCTATTATGTATTCTTGAAGATAAGGAGGAGATTGGTATCACATGCATACGGAGTTAGGAGCATGCATTACATGAGTCTTAATTTATGATTGATATATATTGTATGACTTGCTTGGTGCAAATGATGAATGAATGCGTGGAGATGATTATAGTAGGTGTATGGAAGGGTGCTTATATGTGTGTGAGACATGATTAATGTTATAGTTGTGTGTATGTCTACCTTTGTACATTATATATGATGTGTGCAAATGAGATGTGTCTCCCTATATTTGTATATTTGTGTTTGGGCTGAACGTCACTTGTAAGACTAATTCAGGTACAAGAAGATGTGTTTGATGAGAGAGGGGCATAAAGAGAGATTTTGCTCTAACTAGTGTGATATCTGAGTAGAGATTAGTCTTAGTATTTTAATGAGTTTTATTTGGATTATAGCTTCTTATTTTTAACGTTTAGGATTTTGTTTAAAAAGGCGATTTGTGCCTTGTTTTAATTTCACACAAATGTTTACTATTTTTAGTAAAGTTGTTAGAGAAAATTGTGAACTCTTTTATTAATATTGACGCTTTAGAAAATTCCTTTTTATAAAAGGTTAATTTTTTAAAATCATTAAATTCTTTGTTTATTTATTTGAGGTAGAAAGGTGTCACACTCGTTAGAAACCAAAAATAATTATGTTAGATTTTAGAGATATGAAAATCAAAATAAAAATATTTTATAATGATCAAAATTAAAATTTTTTTTATCATTTTATAAAGGTCAAAAATATTTTATAAGGACTAAAATTAATGATTCATGTTTTAGAAGGATAAAACCAAAGAAATTTTTTTATAAAGACTAAAATTAAATTTTTTTCATTTTATAAGAACTAAAAATATATTTAAACTTTTCTTAAATAATCAATTATGTTCTTTTAAAATAGTGACTTATCAAAAAAGTTTATACAGTAAAAACTAGAGTTAAAAATATAGTTAGAAATAATTTCTTAATTACAACAATCGAAATAAGGTGAGTTAATCTCAGACAAATCAAAGAATCAACTAAAGAATATGTGAATTATTTTCTAGTAATTATATATTTATTTTTATAAATATATTTTATCGTAATACCAATTTCTTAATATTAAATATGAATTTTTATCTTGTACGATAATTGTTTTTAAGAGTTTTTTTTTATTTTATGAGAGTTTTTAGAAATTTTTTATTTCTTATCTAATTCAATTTTATTTATCATAATTATTTGTAAATTAATTTTTAATATTTTTAAAATAAATTATCAATAAATAAAAATAATGTTATATTATAATATAAGTTATTTATTATAAATTTAAAATATAATTTATATATTTAAAAATATCTATTTATACAAATTTTAAATATGATTTATATATTTAAATGTAATATTTATTTATATATATAATTTATCATAAAATTTTATTATATATAATAAATATTTTGCTTATGTATTGCATATGCTTAAATATTAGTATTTTCAAAGAGCGAAGAGAGAGGAGGGCCAAAGCCATGCTTATCCTCTGTTTTTTTTTTTTTTTTTTTTGTTACAATGCATATCCCCTGTTTACCAATGGCTTAAAATTAAAAGGAAGAAAACAGAAACATTAATATTTTAGTTCAATACCATCAATAATTTCACAACTACAATTAAGTATTGACATTTACGATAAATACAAAAAAAAAATCAAATTCAATTAGTTGATCTAACCCTGCCCAAAAAAAAAGTTTAATTGTTAATCTCATTTTAAAAGTGATTAAGAAATTTCAATCCAACCGATTCTATTGGCGAATTAAACATGTCAATCCAATATACTAAACATATTTTGTCATCCCTACTAAAAGGAAAGCAAGTATTTTGATAATTGAATCTCAATACAAGGACATGAAACCTGTAAAACAAAGGAGTACTCCGAAAGTCTGAATGTAATCAAGTTAAACTTTAGGGAAAGTAAATATAATTTACCCAAACTAAAGATGCCCATATAACTTGCAGGTAACAATTTTTTAAAACCTTTTCCTATCCTTCACTCGCTTTTTTAAGGCCGTCCTTCATCCATTTTTAATATGAAATAAAGAAATTCATCATCTATTGTTATTAAGAAAGCAATCAAACCAATTTGGTTGGTATCCTTAGAGGAGGAAAAAAATAAAAATTTGATACCTGAAGAATGAAAGATAGAGGATAGAGGAGTAAATCTTTAACGTGATTGGCATTCAAATATTTTTTTATAAAAAAAAAATGTAATGTAACACACTAATTAATCGCAAAAATAAAACTAAAATGAATTAGTTTTGAGTTTTCTTCTACCTTTTTACACTGACATCAAAACTTAAACACTCTTTTAACATTCCTTCACAATTCTATTACCAAAGTCTAACATAATAACAATGGATTCTTACTTTCCATCATAATCATATTTACCAAACAAAATTTAGGCCGACATTAGAAGCAAATTCAACGGGAGAAAAAAAAACAATGAAACATGAGATAATTAACTATTTGTTCAACGTTTCAACATTTCCTTCTTGAATTTGCATTTTTCGAGTAAAGAACTAAATAAACATAAGAGATATTGTAAAGTTTAAAACAACGTTGCCAAAAAGATCAAATGCAGTCACAGTGATGGAAATAAGGGGTCGATCAGCATTGCCAACCCTGCAAAGTCATAACTCAATTCAAAATAACTACTAGCTACACTAAATGTACAACTATTTTTGACAAAATTGGAATGATACATTAACCTCTTTTTTTAAAAGAAAAATTGAGAGCTATAGGATAATTCAACTTCAAGACTACATAACCACCGCCAACTCCAACCCAAATCCACCAAAAAAAAACCGGTGAACCTTTAAAGCTAAAAACATTGTTTAATAAGGTCTAAATTTCCTGGCAGCTCTCATCTGCTGCAGACGTTTTTTATCCTCCTCAAATTTGCTCTGCAATGTCATGAGCTCTGCAACCACAACATAAATGTTTTATCTCAGTTTGACCGCTAACAATGAGATAAAAGACCTAATCAAGATCAATTTAGAAAGTTGCCATGTTTTAACTCATGAGTTTAGAAACTAAATGAGGTATAAGGCATGATATTTTTAAATAAAATCATATAGTTCCTTATGCAGTTCCAGCCAACAGCAACATGATCACCAAGGATTAAGGTACATTCTTTCATGACATTCATTTTTGTATAAAATCTTAACTTTGTACACAACAGAAGTTAAGAAACAATATAGGGTTTAAAGCGTGAGACTTCTACATAAAATCATTAATTCAGGTGGTTCCAACACATAGCAACATGACAATTCACTTCATGAACCTCCAGAAACAGGATTTGCTAGTGTTTTCATGCATAAAATTTTAGTTGTTGACAAAATGAGTTGTGAATCTAAAGCACAATAGAAGTTGGGGAAATTTAAAAAGAAAAATAACCTCATACAAATATAAAAGAGGAGTGTATAAAATGAAAGCTCCCTAAAACGACATGTTTATGCTTTTCTTTCAATTTATAAAAACATTGTGGATCTATAGTTAATTATTGATATTTGTTTCAACACAAACAAAACAACTTTTAGAATTTCAGAAAAGAAATCATACCATTTCTCTGTGCTTCTCTTTTTTGAAAGCGGTAGAAATCTAGACCAACTTCTTTATGTTTCTTTTTGGTCATTTTATTCTCCACAGCAGCTTGAGCAACCGAGCCCACAGCAACTCCACTTTCAGAGTCAGTAGTTTTCTTTCTCCCCTTATGGTGTACAACAACCGTCCATCCCCCTTCTGCAGCAAGGGCTTCTTTTTCTTTTCTTTCCTGCATTGATCAAAAACCATTATTCTGAGTAAAACCAAAATAAAGACAGGAAAAATGTGGGATCATTCATAAGTTAGAAAATAAAAGGTTAAACATAATTTGATATAATGGCACAATAGTGACAGACAACTAGATTCAGTCACATACTGCAATTGACAAATACAACAGAGCCTCCCCTGACTCGATGGATCAAATGACACCATTGTGTTTTATCACAAACCAAAACCTCAAAAACTCAATTTAGGTTTAAGTCCTATCATCCTATGTAATGGTTTTGCCTAAAGTTTTTCTTGGGGCTATCTTGCATCTGATCCACTCTCCTGATTGGGCTTCTATTGTCATATCCCACAGTCAAACCACCTTTGGCAATATTCTACCATTTTTTCCTCAATAGATGCTACCTTGCTTTCTCTCTAATGTATTCACTTTTGTTTCTATCTTGTCTTTTATGCCCACTTATTCACCACTGCTACAAATCCTCATGTTTGCAACACTAACTGGGCTTCTTTTTAGGCTCTTTATCACTCAACATATAATGCCACATGATAGTCAAAGGTCAAGTGATTGTGCACAAAAATTTTCATTAAGCTTGAGAAGCACTTTTGAATCACAAATAACAACAAAGACACTTTATCATTTCATTCACTCAACTTGAAGGTTATATTTCTTCATTATCTTGTTTAATAGATCCAAAGTACTAGAGACTAGTGGAATGGTATGATCCCCAATTTCCACAGCTAATACTAGTGCTTGTCTAGCTGAACTTCCATTTTACATGCTTCATTTTGCTCATACTTGATCAGAAATAAAGTGTTTACAAAGCTTTTCTCGACCACTCTGGTAACCATTAAATGATCTCCAGTAGCAATTCCACTAGCACATAAACTATATCACTTGTAAAAAGCATACATTGTGACACTAGCTTAATTTGCTCAGTTTGTAAGCATACCCAAAAACAAGGTAAAAGGATAAAGGCTCAGAGTAGACCCTTTTTATATACCTATAATTATAAGGAAATCCTCAATTAGCCCACCGTGTTCTAATACTAGTTGTAAACCCCATCATAAATCAGTTTGATTACTTGCTAATAAGCAATACAACCTCTTTTTTCTCCCCTAGGGCCTTCAGCTAGACTCTCCATCAATCAAAACCACAGGTTGATCTATTTGCTTCTTTCACTACCCTATTCAATAGTACTCTTGAAAGGTAAATTATTTGCTTCTTTTACTAGTTATTTTTCAAAGCCATGAAATTGGTTGGTATAGGAAAATGCCACGACAATTATGCCCAAAGAAAAAGGTTCACTCACACTTCCATTCAGCAACAAAACTGCATAAAGTACTGAATTTCGAAGTAATGTAACGTGAGCATCAAAAATTGATGCCATGAAAATTAAGCTGCAAGAAAAAGATTCACTGACACTTCCATTTAGCAAGAATTCTGCATAAAGTAGCTGAATTTTGAAGTAATGGCTTAATGAGACAACATGAGCATCCAATTATTCTGTTTTGATCTTATGCATGTTTGCCAACACATACCTCTTCCAATTTTGCCTCGTGAGCAGTTATAAAGTCATCAATTTGATGTTGCAATACCTCCAATCCTGGTCTACTTTGATGGTATTCTGTGATCCATTCTGCAATTTGAGAAGACCTGTCAGATACTACGCCAGGTATGATCTTTAATAGACAATAGGTTACAAATATGGACAAAAGTACAATGGTGCATCACAATCCATTCTATCAACAGATCAAAAGAATAAATTTTAAAAAACTGTGTAAATGTTTACAACTAGAAGTTAAGGGTAGATGTTGGCAAATGGGAGAGACATCAACAGATGAAAATTAACAAAAATCCTCAAATATCAAATGGCAATTACTACTGCAAATTGAACCACAAAAATATTTAAATAGACTCAAAATACAGTAACTATGCTACAAAATTTGGCATTACAAAACACATGCCCACCATCCCATATGAATAAAGCAAATAAAAGTTTTAGATGTATAATGTTTGGAGTTTTAGAGCAAACAAAAATTAATGCACTCGACAGCTAAACAAACACTTCATACTTTTCATTCCCTTAGAGCAGTCATCATCTCCGGAGGATATAATACAAACTTCCTCCTGATTAAACCCTTCTCCCTTTTCCTGTGAAATTTGAGCCTCCTTTTTTCTTTTTTTCTTATCTTTCTTTGACCTACCTACAAGATCAAGACAAATTTCATGAGCTGAATGAATGTAAAACTTGAGGCAATACATTTGAAAATGCAAATATAAAATAGAATAGGATATGCATCTCATTACAGGGTTTGATAACCGCTCCAGCATCAGAATCTCTGTGTCCATCCAAGTCTTGGATCACCTCAGTTTTAGAATGGCAATTGTCTAATACTCCATCAGATGCCATTGACAAAGTGCCCTCAACAATCGTTGAAAATAGTCCTTGTTCTTCCAAATCAACTTCTTGGCCCTTTTGTTTCCGTTTCCTAACTAGATTTTTGTGATTGTTCTTCCTCTTCTTGGTCATAGAAGCTTCATCCTTCTTTGCCTCTGTAACCTGCATTCCATCATCCACTGGAAAAAACAATTTAGCATCAGAAACAGCTGAACAAAGGGTGAGAACATGGAAACAAAAAAATAGTATACCTTCAACTTGAACGTCCAGCAAAGTAACCCTGTTCCTCTTTTTCTTCTTTTCCCCAGTATGAGTATTAGTGTCTCTTTTGCTCTTCTTCACTTTCATCATAGCGAAAACTGAACGGAAAAATTAACAATGAAGTGCATGAGATGCAGATTGTTGAGAAAGAATTGAAAAATTATGAATGATTATAGATATGTGAGGCATAGTACATTTTACAATATTTGTGCACCTCTTTCGGTTGAAGAAGGTTGGGGTGGTTTTGGGGTAGCTTGGGATGGTGTTAGGTCTAAGATTTGATGGGCTTGGTTTTTTAGAAGCCCAAAACAATAAATAAACAATTGAGAATTTAATTTCTATTGTTAATAAAAAAAATTATAAATTAATATAGATATTAAATTATATTTTTTATAAGAAAAATATTCATAAAATGTGTTATTTCAATATGTGATTCTTTATAGTGCTATATATGTTTTCGGGCCTTTAATAATTCGTTCTATTTGATTTTAGTCCTTAAAAAAAATTGATTTTAATCATCTAAATTTATATAATATTTATTTTTAATTATTTTTTAAATAGTGTTAAATTTTTTTGTTAAAATTGATCATCTCAATACTCAAATTATCCATATTTTTATTGATATGGAATTTTTTAAAATTTAAAATATTAATTATTTTAGGATTAAATTAAAATCTAAATTTTCAATTAAAATGTTTTACTTTTCACCCTAGGACCCATGTATGGAGGTAGCTATGGAGAGAAACAACCTCATTTTGAATATGTGAGAATATTTTATGAGAATTTGGTAAAAGACATTTTATTTGAGTAAAAAATAAATCATTGAAATTATTTTATCTAAATAATTTTAAACATGATAATATATTTTTCAAACAACTAAAAGTAATTATTTTTTATTTATTTTAAACTAGAAGATGATCGAATTTAAATAGAATAACTTAGGACAAAAGTTTATATTTTGTCTTTTGTCTCAAGATAGTGTGTGTCATTCATAGAATTTTTTTTATCAATCCAACTAAAATATAATTAGTAATTGTACAACAATAAATACTTGTAATTAATTATATTAGTTGATTCTCAATTTTTCTTTTATTTATAATCAAGTCCTTAACAAGATTTCATTTAATATTTAAGTCATAAAATTTCTCAAAGATAAAAATATTTCTTATTTTGCTTATTAATATTATAAATTTAATATTTTACTCACAAGTATAGTTAATATGATAATTAAGTAATTCAATCATAACATTTTTTTAAGTCATTGTAATTCAAATGTTATTTATTTCGAGTTGGTACACTTTATCTATTCATTATTACGTGGTATTAGTTTTTTATGTTAGTTAATTCTATTAAATATAATGTCATTATGATATTATAATAACTCCTTATTTGTTTGTTTATGTTTATTTGATGTAAGAAAATTATAAGTGTATAATTATTGTCAAGTAATAAATTATCAAATTTATAAGAATTACATGTTTAATTTTGTAATTATTAATATTAATTAAATTGAACAAACAAAATTTAAAAATACTTAAAGGTTAAGTTGAAAAGTGATTCTAAGATCAATGGTAAGTAAAACAAGAATAACAATAAATTTCATATATAAGAGAAACTTTTAGAATTGAGAGTTCACTTAATGAGTTCCTATATGTTCAAATATTTTAGTCAAAAATTTAATTATTTTTCTTTAAGGTAAATTAACCTAAAATACCCTTCATGTAGGTTTATTTAATTGGATTGACTCCTACTCTCGTGGTAACTATTGTGAGACTCGTGACCTTCTTTCTCATTTTTCTTCCTCTCCACTCTAAGACTCTCACTCACTCTCTCTTACTCTTCTCCTTGTTGCTGACTTTAGGTGGTAGTGCGGAGTAATCGTGGACGTCTAGCTGAGTACTTGGAGCCTTCTCTTCTTCTCTCTCGGTTGTTCAAGCTCTTCATCAACTCTCTTCTCTATTTCTCCTTCCCGGAAGCTCGGAATCCTTGTCCGAGGTAAGGGAAGCTAGGTTTTTCGCCGTTTTTGGATGTAAAAGAGTTTTAGGAACTCATTAGCTGTTAAATGTTTGAGGATTTTGGCTGAGATTGATGAAAAATTTAAGTTTTTGGGGTTTCCGGGGTTTTGAGAAATTTTGGGGAAATCCTTGAATCATGGTTGCATGTGGGAAATGAAGTGTTTTTATTGAACTTTGGTGAAAACGGGAACTTTTAGCTGGATTGCATGCTGGTGTTCTGTTAAGTTTTGCAGGATTATGGACAGATTTCGAACTTAGGGATAGTCGCTGTTGAATTCACGCTGGGCGCTGTTCTTCGCGCCGGGCGCGTGACCACCAGGGGACTCCACTTAGGCAAGCCGTCGGGCGCAATGCTGTGGGCGCCGGGCGAGCTTGTAAATGGGAGTCTCTGGTTGGCCCATGCCGGGCGTGACTCGAGCTGCGCCGGGCGCGATATCAAGGGTAACATGTTTTGGGATACTTTGGTGCCGCGCTAGGCGCACGTTTGGACTCGCTGGGTGCGGAGGCTCCTTGGGAGTCTCTGCCAAGAGCACACCGAGCGCAATGCGAATTGCGCCAGGCATGAGACCTTGGTAGGTCTCTGCCTTCCCCACGCTGGACGCGGGTTAGGCCACGCTGAGCGCACGAGACTCCTTGAGTCTCTGCCAGGCAGGCGCTGGGCGCAATTTGGAATTGCGCCAGGCACGTGAGAGACTTGGTGCTCTCGGGTTGAGTCTCGTCGGGCACGAGTACTCTTGCGCTGGGCGCGATGGCCCCTGGTGCTCTCGGGTTGAGCCGCGCTGGGCGCGACCTCGAGCACGCCGGGCGCGAAAGGGGATATTGAAATATATGCTGTTGGCTGTTGAATTGTGCTGAACTTGTTAATCAATGTTGTTATATGCTGAGCTAAGTTATATTTGATGAATATGTTGTGATGACTAGGTGATAAAGCTGAGATAATAATATTTAGTTGTATTAGAGGTGTATTGTTGAGCTGAAAGCGATGAATTAATATGTAAAATTTTATAGTATGGCGGAACCATTGTAGGTTGGGCTGAATTGTGATAAACAATAAGTGTGTTGAATTGTTGTGCTGTGTTATGTTGTGCTGTGCTGTGTTGTGCTGTGCTGAGTTGTGTGATGCTATAGCCGCTAAGTCGGTGCTGTTATTAGCCACATATGTGGTGCTGATATAACCGTTAAGACGGTGCTGTTGTTGCCGCTTTGCGGTGCCGTTATAGCCACTCGAGTGGTGCTGTTGTTGCTGCTAAGCAGTGCTGATATTTCTGCATTGCAGTGCTGATATTGTTGAGGGGTATAAGCTGTACGGGTGTGCTGATAACTGTAGCTATTGTTTATTATATTGCTATATATATATATATATATTCATATGTTGGTTTTTAATTACACTAGCTTACCCTTTTGTTGTTTCCATGATGTTGGACTGCAATGATCATACTATGTATGGGTGCAGAACAGGGATAGGTGGGTGTCTAATGATGAGTCTTCAGCGGACCAGTGGAGCTGATCGCTTTTGTGACTATTTTGCTATGTAGCTACTTGGGATAGTAGCATTGATTGTACTTTGTGTTGTACACTTTAACTCTAGTTGGATTGGAACATTGTATATATTTATATTCTAGATTCTATAATTATATACTCGTTCTATTTTGTTTAGTGTTTCCGGTGTGCGGTAGTTGGAAGTGCAGTGACCAGCCGGGTCGTTACACTTTAGTGGTATCAGAGTGGGTCGAGTCTAGTGGACACTCTTTGGGGGTGGTCCCTTTAGGCTTTTTGATGTGTTAACTTTGTGCTGTGATGTCTGCTGTGCTGAAATTGCTGTGATGATTTGTTGTGCTATTGATTGTTGTGTGGTTTAGTTATTGTTTACTAAAAATGTTGTTACTTTTGTAGACGATGACTAGGACCAACGAGCAGATAGCCCGTGCCATAGAGATGATGGCTATGGCTATGCAACAGCAAAATGCCTATTTTGCTAGGATGGAGGCTGAGAGAGCTGCAGTTGGTGCAGCAAGACCTACAGGGTCACAGGAAAGCCGGGATCTTGCTGAGTTCCGGAAGTGTAATCCTCCACAGTTTGCAGGAGATGCGGATCTAGAGGTAGCTGACCGCTGGATCCGTGAGCTAGAGAAGATCTTTACTGTCCTGGGATGTCCTCCAGATAGGAGGTTAGCATATGCTGTGTGTATGCTTGTTGGGGAGGCTGAACATTGGTGGAGAGGCACCTATCAGATGCTTGCTGCTAGAGGAGTTACAGTTGATTGGGAGTGCTTCCGGACGGTGTTTATAGAGAAGTACTTTCCGGAAAGCGTGAGGCATGCCAAGGAGGCAGAGTTTATGCGACTGCATCAGGGAGGGATGACAGTTTCTGAGTATGCGATGAAATTCGAGCACCTGGCTCGTTTTTATTCGCAAGGTATAGCTGAGACCTGGAAATGCAGGAAATTTGCTGATGGGTTGAGATATGAGTTGAAGAGGGTGGTGGTGCCTATGGCCATCACTGAGTTTCCGGCCTTAGTGGAGAAGGAAAAAGTGGTGGAGCGGTTAGAGGGTGGCAACCGGGTTGTGAGGACTGCTAGGGGGCCATCTAGGTCCAAGAAGGGTGAGAGTCAGAGGAAGCCGTATGACAGGCCCCAGCCATAGCAAGGGGGTTATGTTGCTCGACAATCTTCCAGTGCTGCTAGTGGAGGCAGACAGAGTGGAGGTGCCACTCTGAGATGTTTCAAGTGTGCTGGGCCCCACTTTGTCAGGGACTGTCCGCACATAGAGAGTCGTTGCTTCAGATGTCATCAGATGGGCCACAAGTCAGCCAATTGCCCTGCTAGAGGCAGACCAGAGAGGAGTACTCCGAGGGGTGATGTGCAGAGGACTGATACTCAGAGGAGTAGCGCACAGAGAGTTGATACTCAAAAGGGTGACAGACCCACTACTGCTGGTAGGGTATTTGCCTTGACAGGTGCTGAGGCTTCGACTTCTTCTGATCTTGTGAAGGGGAAGGGGCAAGCTGCTGGTAAGGATGTGATGATTCTCTTTGACTCTGGTGCTTCGCATTCCTTTATATCTTATGCATGTGTTGCTATGTTGGGTGTGCCTGTGTGTGATTTGGGGTTGAGACTGCTTGTGTCGACTCTCGCTTCTGCTTCTATGATTGCTTCTGAATTGTGTGTGGGTTGCCCGGTTATGGTGAATGAGAAGAAGTACAAGGTGAACCTGATTTGTTTACCTTTGGTGGATATTGACATAATCTTGGGAATGGATTGGTTATCTGTCAATTGCATTCTAATTGATTGTGCCAATAGGCGGTTGATCTTTCCTCAGGAGGAGGATAAGCTGTTGATCTCAGCTGGCCAGGCTGAGTCATTGTTGAGAGATGGAGCAGAATGTTGTCTTCTGCTTGTTGCAATGAGTGTGGAGACCGAGAGGGTCTTAGCTGATATCGATGTGGTGAGGGAGTATACCGATGTGTTCCCTGATGAGGTGCCTGGGTTGCCTCTTGTTACGGAGATGGAGTTCAGCATTGACTTGGTTCCAGGGGCGGGACCAATGTTAGTGGCTCCCTATAGGATGGCTCTTGCTGAGCTGGTTGAGCTGAAGGGTCAGTTGGAGGACTTGTTGGAAAAGCAGTTGGTGCGACCAAGTGTTTCGCCGTGGAGTGCTCCGGTGTTACTAGTAAGAAAGAAGGATGGAGGTAGTCGACTGTGTGTTAATTACCGGCAGCTGAACAAGTTGACCATTAAGAACAAATATCCACTTCCCCGGATAGATGACTTAATGGATCAACTGAGGGGTGCGTCGGTGTTTTCTAAGATTGACTTGAGGTCAGGATATCACCAGATTAGGGTGAGAGAGAGTGACATACCGAAGACTGCTTTCAAGACTAGGATGGTCACTATGAGTATGTTGTAATGCCGTTTGGTGTGACCAACGCCCCCGCAGTGTTCATGGACTACATGAACAGGATCTTCCGGCCGTTCTTGGATAAGTTTGCTGTAGTGTTTATTGATGATATTTTGATTTATTCAAGGACTCGAGAAGAGCACGAAGAGCACTTGAGGACAGTGTTGGAGATTTTGAAAGCGAAGCAGCTGTATACTAAGCTTTCAAAATGTGAGTTCTGGTTGGATGAGGTGAAGTTCTTGGGCCACGTAATTTCAGCTGAGGGGATTGCTGTTGATCCGGCTAAGGTGGAGTCGGTGTTGCAGTGGGAGCGCCCGAGGACTGTCACGGATATTCGGAGCTTTGTGGGATTAGCGGGTTACTATCGGAGGTTCATTGAAGGATTCTCTAAGATAGTAGCGCCTCTGACCCAGCTGACTAGGAAGGAGCAGCCATTCATTTGGACTGATGCCTGTGAGCAGAGTTTTGTTGAGCTGAAGAGGAGGTTAACAACTTCTCCTGGTCTGGTGTTGCCGGATTCTGGTGAGCCTTTTGATGTGTACTGTGATGCCTATCATCAAGGTCTGGGGTGTGTGCTGATGCAAAACAGGAGAGTGGTGGCATATGCTTCAAGGCAACTGAAGATTCATGAGAGGAACTATCCCACCCATTGGAGTTAGCAGCTGTGGTGTTTGCCTTGAAGATCTGGAGGCATTACTTATATGGTGCCCGGTTCAGCGTCTTCAGTGATCACAAGAGTCTGAAGTACTTGTTTGATCAGAAGGAGCTGAACATGAGGCAGAGGCGGTGGATGAAGTTTCTGAAGGATTATGATTTTCAGTTGATGTATCATCCAGGCAAGGCCAATGTGGTGGCAGATGCGCTAAGTAGGAAATCCATCTACATGTCAAGTATGATGGTAAGAGAGCTGGAGCTGGTTGAGAAGTTCAGAGATTTGAATCTCTGTGTGGAGTTAGCTCAGGATCACATTAGTTGTGGGGGGGGGGCGATAACTAATGAGTTCTTGAGGTAGGTTGGACTCAAGCAGTTGCAGGATGAGGAGTTGGTGAGACTTCTTGGTTTGCTGGGTACCGAGAAAGCTGCGGGTTTTGAGCTGGGAGAAGATGGATCTTGAGGTTTAGAGGTAGAATTTGCCTACCTCAGGATGCTGAGCTAAGGAGAGCTGTATTGGAAGAAGGCCACAAGAGTAGACTTAGCATACACCCGGGTATGACTAAGATGTACCAAGACCTCAGGAAGAACTTTTGGTGGTCTGGTATGAAGAGGGAGATCGCTGAGTATGTGGCGGCCTGTCTGACCTGTCAGAAGGCAAAGGTTGAGCATCAGAAGCCGAGTGGGTTGATGCAACAAATAGAGATCCTGGAATGGAAGTGCGATAGTATCACTATGGACTTTGTTGTTGGGTTGCCTAGGTCAGCTAGGAATAGTGATGGGTAATTGTTGATCGATTGACCAAGTGTGCACATTTCTTGCCTGTCAACATCAAGTGGCCCTTGGAGAAGCTGACTCAGTTGTATGTAAAGTAGATAGTACGGTTGCACGGGGTGCCTTCTAGTATTATCTCCGACTGAGATCCGAGGTTCACTTCCCGATTTTGGCAGAGTCTACATCAGGCCCTAGGCACGAGGCTGAAACTGAGTTCTGCTTATCATTCGCAGACGGATGGTCAGTCAAAGAGGACAATCCAGTCCTTGGAGGATTTGCTGAGGGCTTGTGTGTTGGACCACTTGGGTAGCTGGGAGGAGGTCCTACCGCTGGTGGAGTTTACTTATAACAACAGCTTTCATGCTAGCATTGGAATGGCGCCGTTTGAAGCCTTGTATGGCAGAAGATGTAGGACTCCTCTGTGCTGGTACCAGGAGGGTGAGTCAGTGGTTGTGGGACCGGAGTTGATCCTATAGACTACTAAGAAAGTGAAGATGATTCAGGAGAGGATGAAGACTGCTCAGAGTAGGCAGAAGTCATATGCAGATAAAAGGCTTAAGCCTTTGGAGTTTGCTGAGGGGGAGCATGTGTTTCTGAAGGTGACTCCGACTTCTGGTGTGGGCAGAGCGTTGAGGGCACGGAAGTTAACACCGAAGTTCATGGGTCCCTATCAGATTATACATCGGGTAGGTCCGGTTGCTTATCGGTTGGCTTTGCCACCGTCTCTTTCAAACCTACATGATGTATTTCATGTATCCCAGCTGAGGAAGTATGTGCATGACCCGAGTCATGTGGTGGAGCTGGATGATGTTCAGATAAAGCAAAACCTGACTTTTGAGAAGCTGCCAATAGCTGTGGTTGATTTTAAGCTGAAGGAGTTGAGGGGTAAGTCCATTGCTCTGGTGAAAGTCCTGTGGGATGCGGCTACCGGTGAGGCTACTTGGGAAGTGGAGCAGCAATGCAAGGAGCGGTATCCGTTTCTTTTCCCAAGTAAGTCGGTTTTCGGGGACGAAAACTCTTGTTGTTGGGGAAGTTGTGAGACCCGTGACCTTCTTTCTCATTTTTCTTCCTCTCCACTCTAAGACTCTCACTCACTCTCTCTTACTCTTCTCCTTGTTGCTGACTTTAGGTGGTAGTGCGGAGTAATCGTGGACGTCTAGCCGAGTACTTGGAGCCTTCTCTTCTTCTCTCTGGGTTGTTCAAGCTCTTCATCAACTCTCTTCTCTATTTCTCCTTCCCGGAAGCTCGGAATCCTTGACCGAGGTAAGGGAAGCTAGGTTTTTCGCCGTTTTTGGATGTAAAAGAGTTTTAGGAACTCATTAGTTGTTAAATGTTTGAGGATTTTGGCTGAGATTGATGAAAAATTTAAGTTTTTGGGGTTTCCGGGGTTTTGAGAAATTTTGGGGAAATCCTTGAATCATGGTTGCATGTGGGAAATGAAGTGTTTTTATTGACCTTTGGTGAAAATGGGAACTTTTAGCTGGATTGCATGCTGGTGTTCTGTTAAATTTTGCAGGATTATGGACAGATTTCGAACTTAGGGATAGTTGCTGTTGAATTCGCGCTGGGCGCTGTTCTTCGCGCCGGGCGCGTGACCACCAGGGGACTCCATTTAGGCAAGCCGTCGGGCGCAATGCTGTGTGCGCCGGGCGAGCTTGTAAATGGGAGTCTCTGGTTGGCCCACGCCGGGCGTGACTCGAGCTGCGCCGGGCGCGATATCAAGGGTAACATGTTTTGGGATACTTTGGTGCCGCGCTAGGCGCACGTTTGGACTCGCTGGGTGCGGAGGCTCCTTGGGAGTCTCTGCCAAAAGCACACCGAGCGCAATGCGAATTGCGCCAGGCATGAGACCTTGGTAGGTCTCTGCCTTCCCCACGCTGGACGCGGGTTAGGCCACGCTGAGCGCACGAGACTCCTTGAGTCTCTGCCAGGCAGGCGCTGGGCGCAATTTGGAATTGCGCCAGGCACGTGAGAGACTTGGTGCTCTCGGGTTGAGTCTCGTCGGGCACGAGTACTCTTGCGCTGGGCGCGATGGCCCCTGGTGCTCTCGGGTTGAGCCGCGCTGGGCGCGACCTCGAGCACGCCGGGCGCGAAAGGGGATATTGAAATATATGCTGTTGGCTGTTGAATTGTGCTGAACTTGTTAATCAATGTTGTTATATGCTGAGCTAAGTTATATTTGATGAATATGTTGTGATGACTAGGTGATAAAGCTGAGATAATAATATTTAGCTGTATTAGAGGTGTATTGTTGAGCTGAAAGCAATGAATTAATATGTAAAATTTTATAGTATGGCGGAACCATAGTAGGTTGGGCTGAATTGTGATAAACAATAAGTGTGTTGAATTGTTGTGCTGTGTTATGTTGTGCTGTGCTGTGTTGTGCTGTGCTGAGTTGTGTGATGCTATAGCCGCTAAGTCGGTGCTGTTATTAGCCACATATGTGGTGCTGATATAACCGTTAAGACGGTGCTGTTGTTGCCGCTTTGCGGTTCCGTTATAGCCACTCGAGTGGTGTTGTTGTTGCTGCTAAGCAGTGCTGATATTGCCGCATTGCGGTGCTGATATTGTTGAGGGGTATAAGCTGTACGGGTGTGCTGATAACTGTAGCTGTTGTTTATTATATTGCTATATATATATATATATATTCATATGTTGGTTTTTAATTACACTAGCTTACCCTTTTGTTGTTTCCATGATGTTGGACTGCAATGATCATACTATGTATGGGAGCAGAGCAGGGATAGGTGGGTGTCTAATGATGAGTCTTCGGCGGACCGGTGGAGCTGATCGCTTTTGTGACTATTTTGCTATGTAGCTACTTGGGATAGTAGCATTGATTGTACTTTGTGTTGTACACTCTAACTCTAGTTGGATTGGAACATTGTATATATTTATATTCTTGATTCTATAATTATATACTCGTTCTATTCTGTCTAGTGTTTCCGGTGTGCGGTAGTTGGAAGTGTAGTGACCAACCGGGTCGTTACAACTATGTTCAATTAAA